GAAAGAACTCGCAGACTATAGGAAGAGCGAACAATCGGCTGCGCACTGAGCGCAGTTCTAGTAGCAAGTTTCGTAACTACACACCAGGTGTTGCAAAAAGAAGTATTTTCTTGAATTCAGTTGAGAAATTGCCGAAACTAAATATTTTGGTCGACCATTGTACCGTACGGCCAGATGAAAGTTGAAATTTTAGCCTGGTTAGCTGCAGTTGAGAACGCTTCTTTCCTTCTGGCGATGACACAGTGGAAACGGCGCGTAATTACCATCGAAACGAAAGTTTCGCAATTGACTAGCTTCGAAGAGCACTCTCTTGTTATATGGCTGCGAAATATGGCCAGCGAGAGTAAAGGATATTAAGAAGCACTTATCTACTTTTCTGCCGAGTGCATAAAGGATGATTACTTCCTCTCTTACTCGGATCTCCATTAGGATCATCGTCGAAAGGCGTCACGCTGTTTAGACCATGTTCATTACCGCTCGCAGGAATTGACGTATATCTGGCTACTTGCTAAGTCTGTGTGTTGGATGGCTTCAAAGGCGGAAAGTCCAGTAAAAGTCTGGACGGTCAGGAGAGATTTCGAATGAATAGGCGATCCAGCTATATAGGGTTATGGAAAAGGAGTGGCTTTTATTATTTTGTGTCTTACTTTCAGGTATGGCGTAGGGTCGAGCAGCTTGAGAAACCTTACTTTTATAGGCTACGGAACCAGTCTATAACCAGTAATGGTGCGACCTATTAGAGAAAAAAGAAATATTATTGTTATTCATCTCTGTTATTAGCTTTATCATGTAATTTCAGTTGCGGTATCTGTTATATCCCTCCTTAAATAGCGTTTTAGATAAGTATTCAAATGCATTCAGCAATTCTTTCAGAATTAAAAAGAGAATTAACTCGGGTAGTGATAAGGAAAAAGCGTTTAATGTTAACGGCAGTTATAGTTATAGCAGTTATAGCCTAGTTATAGTTTGTTGCAGTTTTTCCACTCTAACTTAAATTTAAGGTAGTAATATTTGGTGGAATATAACCGCAAATAGCAATAACAATTTCATTCGTAATCTTTACCTCAAACATGTGTAAATAAACCAAATATATTTGCAAAAATTATGTTAAAAATTGCAAAATTACGAAACATGCAAAAATATTTTCTATAATAGGTCGTGGCTCAAACATTGAAAAAAGGTTTGGGAGAAAATTATATTTAAAGACAAAGAAATAACCATATAAAATTTAAATTTAAAATATTTTCTGTAATAGGTCGTGGCCCAAACATTGAAAAAAGGTTTGGGAGAAAATTATATTTAAAGACAAAGAAATAATCATATAAAATTTAAAGATTAAATATTTGGAGCTTCAGGTTCCAAAGCAGTCCAAATAATGCTTGGTTAAGGTCAAGAAATAGATGAAATTTGAGCAGTTTTAAAATTTTAAATAAAATTTTAAAATTGATTGGTATTGAGAATGTCAGATAGTCAATAAAGGATTAATTCTCGAAATTTCGCTGCAACACTTTTTGTATATTGCAGAACTTTTTTTTTAAAAGTCATCACCATTACTGGTTAAGCTCGCTTCGCTGGCTTATCGCACTGGACAAATATGCCAGGTATCCCTTGGCGATAAAAGTACAGGTTATGCACCACACGGATTTCTGGACAGGTTTTCTATGGGGAATAGAACCTCAGCATTGGCGCTTCGAATTGAGCAACAACGCACTGAGCCATTCTATCCCTGATTTTCATACGTGGCAGAATTAATAATTAATTCTATTTGAAACGATTCCTTGAAGCTTTAGAATAAATTTACAAGATTTCAAGATTTTGTATAAATACATTTCATCGAAATTTTATATAAATTATATCTTATAAATTTTTCTTATAAATTATAAATATCTTATCTTATAAATTTATATCTTATAAATTTTAAAAAAAATAGAATGAAAAATTTTAAATTATTTTGTTCGGTGGTGGTTACTTTTTGCGATTATTTTATTTTATCAAATTATTGAATTAGCGGATTTTTATGTTTTCTTTAATTTTTCTTATTTTTCTTCCTTTACTGTTTTACTTTTTTGCAATTTCAGATCGAAATCATAAGAGACATAGTAACGTGAGTTTAAGTCAACGATTTTCAAAAATCTTGGGAATAAAGAAGAATAAAGAAGTTGACCATATTTTATCTTACTCGTCGGAAAAACAAGTGACGCGACCAAAATACTTTTTGAGTTTATCAAAATTTCGTACTAGGCGAAGCTTGGCGAAAAGTGGTTCAAATAATCAGGTTAATCTTCACAGTTGATTTTTTGGTTTGTGGTTCGCATTTCAGAAAGCTGATAAATATTTTTTTTGCATCATGAAACTCTTGGAGAATTTGGTAAAAATTAGATGCTTCTCAAAAAAATGCTTAGGTGCGTATTCAACATTGCCTAGAATAAATAAATTTTTGAAGAACATCGTTGTATTGTATCATGATGAGAAGGTAAAAATTTCAAATTTTCTATTTTCTAGAATCAAATTTAAAGCCACGATGTTAAGTGCTAGTTTTATAATTGAGGATTTCTAAAACCAAATCAGAAGAGTATGGTGGTGGAGCAAGATTAGTAAAAACGAATTAGAAATTATTTGCACAGATAATTTACTAAAATCTTCAAGTATACAATTCTTAGTTCATATGTTATTTTATTGCTTTCACTATTATTAATTCTTTTTTTAAAGCAATAAATCTTCATCAATTTTCCATGAGAATTTTTCATAATGAAATTTTTCACTTGATGGTTAGAGCATATTGGTCTATTATACTATTTTTTTGCCATTCCTACAGAAATTTACGAAATCAGAAGAAGGAAGAATCTCAGAAGAAAATTCGAAAAAGAAAGTTATTGATGAGTGTAACGAAAACAGACAGAATAATTCGTCTGAAACGAGTCATTACGCAACAATAAGCCTGCATCATTTGGTTAGTTTTTTTTCATGAATTATTATTGTCGTTTCAGTTTATTTTCAGTTTATTCAGTTTATTATCAATACTCGCAAAATTTTTATACTAATTATATGTAAAATTTAATATAGTGGCAATGGAGATATGATGTTGAATCGAAACCATTTCATGACCACTAAAATCATAACATTTTCAATAAGATAATTAGGGAGATTTTTCGATTTGCAATTTAAAAACCATATCGTAGAGAATACATTACCAGTAAACTGAATTTATCTTGTGGATAGGTAAAATTTTTTAGTTCATTAATGATTAAAAAACATAAATGACGAATGATGTAAAAACGAAAATCAGTAAGAAAATTGACTCAGGGTGAAACTTTTTTTCGCTTTACACGTTTAATACCATCTCCCCATATTCTTCTTTATATTCGCTCAACAATTTTCACGCTGCTTCAAATCCCCATCATATTCAGTTAACATCTCCCACACTTCCTGTTCTTCATTATCGCATTCTCATCATATTTCATTTCCCTAAATCAGCAAATTTGCGGCGTAACTGAAGTCACAATCTAAATGCATCACAATTTATATATAACTAGTAAGGACATTCGTGGATTCAAGTCTTCCTTAGCATAATCTTTGAAATCCTTTGACATTCCTTTTATGCAGTACTATATTCATGCTTTATCCTTATATTCCTCACCTCCTTACCCGACGTAAAGACTTTCAATAATCACAGTCATTGTTGTTGCATTCTGTTCAATTTACAATTACAATTTTACAATTTTTACAATTTACGATTTTACAATTTTCGATTGTTCGTGGGTAAGTGCACTGTATTATAAATATTACAAATTTGACGGAGCATTAAAGAAGCCTTATGCGATGCAAAGAGCGGAAACAAGGTCTGGACAGATTTGAATTGGTAAATTGCTCCAAAAGTAAGGCTTTTAAGGTATTTGGCAGGGTTTAGGAAGTTTTACCATAAAATGTTGGATTCATAGAATATCGAAAGGTATCGTAGAGAATGTGCGGAGCAAATAATATCGGATTTTTATAGCTTTTATATAGGGCTTAAAAGTAGACTATGTATTTCAAGATGATTACTATCCAGTTTTAATGAAAGAACTAAGTGCGATTTGGCAGAATGTCGAAAATGAATGAGGGAGTGTGGGAGTGTGGAGATTTATTATAGTGGTGTGCAAAAAGTCAAGGTAATATAAGGTTAAAGAAGTGCGTCTAATGGGATATAATAAAAGAGTGCAGCGAGGTTTGTTCTGGCACTAAGGAACCTCAGACCACGGAAATTTTTGAGAAAGCATGGCGGTATTTAAAATGTGTGGTTGCACTATGTATAAAACATATATATGTATATATGTATAAAAAAAACAGTTAATAGTTCAGGGCAAAAGTAGACATTGGGGGTGTTCAGGATATTAGAGGGAATTTTTCACAAAATATGAAAGGTTTTGGAAGATGGCTTATTTTTCTTGTCCCTTTTTAAATACAAATTTTATAATATATCAGATGGTGAATCGGTGGCTTAGTGGTGGAATAAGTGGTACCGAGAATCGAAAATCTCTTACAGTAATATATGGCCAGAGTTCGAATCTGACTGACCCATTACGCTTCATCGAGCGTATGTGTCACCAAATGGTGAAAGCAAAAGGAGGTAAAAAGAGTAAGAATGGCTCAGTGAGCTGTTTTTTCAAATGCAAATGTTGAGATTCTGCTTCTGGCAAGAATAAAGCTGCCTTTCAGAAATCCATGTGTGCCGGCTGGTTCATTTTTCTTTTCATTTTTTATTATCAAGTAATTTCCTGGAAAAATTTGTTCAGTCCAACAAGCCAGCAGAGTGACCCTAACCAGTAATGGTGAGAACTCTTAGTAAAAAAAAATTTATCGAATAATTTCACTTGTCGCCCTTGTTGAATTTCAGAATAGTTTCGATTCATATTTGCTGTTCTATATTAGTTTTTCTTTGTTAATTGAAAATGTATATTTTTGAAATTTGAAAAAAAAAATCGTGATGATTGTAAAAATTGATTTTTCAGTTTTATAACGAAATGTCATCCCTTGATTCGCATGAGAGAAGGGAGTTGGATAATGGTAATACAATTATTGAACTGGAAAAACGTGAGAATGGTGTGTTTTAGAGATCCTTTGTAGAATTTAAATGCCGAAATTTTTTCATATTGGTTCTCACTATCAATTTTTTGATCATAAATTCGAAATAACAATACTTTTAGGAAATGTTTGATAAGGATTTAATCGTCACTACGATTTTTGTAGTATTTTTAGGATTTCACTCGGATGTATGAGTGAAGCGCTCATGAATCTGCTCAAAAAATTTTCTCTTTCTCAGTCTTAACTAACACAAATATCTTGCAATACTCTTAATTTAATAGTGCTTTGGTGCTTAAGAATGTTCATTGTCTTGAGAGAAAATTTTTACTATGGTGATAGTTCTACAAGAATAACATATCTTGTAGATGAGAAAAGGTGAAGATTTCTTTTAGGCTTTGGATTCAGTATTGTGGGTGGAATTGATAATGATCATTTCCCAGGGAATTTTGGTATCTTCGTGTCGAAAGTCAATGATGGTGGCAGTGCAGCTGAAAGTGGTCGATTGAAAGAAGGAGATCGTATAATTTCTGTAATATTTATCTCCTTTCATTTTTCAAAATAATGCCAGAATATTTGTAATATTGTTAAAATCAGTTTGAAGTTTAAAATCGTTTGTAAGTTTGTAGGAAAAATGTAACTTAGAGTTATCTAGGAAAAAGGTAAATTTATTTTCAATGATAAATATTTTAGGATAATTTCTCATCTTTCAGGAATTGAATTTCTTTTTTAATTTATTTTTGTAGTTTGTAGTTGTATGATTGTAGTTTTTATGGATATCGTAAATTTTATTCTTTTTTCAGTAGAACGGTTCAATAGCTTAAAGTATATTATTTCTGTTTTTTTTGTTCTTCCTGATTCCATTTAATATGTGGCTTGCTTTTGATCTAGACAATAAAAAGAATTTGATTTATATGATGCACTAATAAATTTGCAGTTTTTTGGTTGAGATTCTATAATTCTTGTTGCATTTTAAATACGCTGGGGAAATGTTGCATTTATTGAATCAGTGTAAGATATTTTTAGAAAATTTTCAAATTTATGTTGAAAATTCTGCTCATTCCTTTATGGAAATATAAAAATTTAATAGCTTTGAATCGATCTGTGGTTTTCTTGACTGAGTATAATGTATCTTTAAGATCAACCACTCGATGAATTCATTGCCAAGATAGGTTAGTGCCTAACATGTGACTTTGCTGTGATTTCCTTAATAGGATATGCGAATAGATTTTTTGCGGCATAGCATTAAAACCTTTTCGTATATTTTTCTTCAGAGATCTTGATTATTTTTTGATAATTTTTATTTTTCTCTACTTTTTTACTTTAAAGCATTTTACCAAATTTCAAATTATCCAGCGTGATCCACTTGATTTTTGGTATTTTTGAGGACCAAAAATTTTTTAATATGTTACTGGTGAATAATATGCCTTGTCTCAGATTATTTTAATGATTTGATTAGTTATTGAGCAACTGAAAATTATCATTTAGGTTAACGATAAATCGTTAGTTGATTTAACTCACGATGAAGCAGTTGCAGTCCTCAGAAATATTCCTGTAAATGAACGTGCAGTTTTATTAATTGAACCAGATGCTGAAAGAAATGAAATTTATGTGAGTTCATAGCATTTCAAATCTTAGTTAATGAGTCGGTTATCGATTCTCTCCGGAATTTTTTTTTCCATTTATTAGATATAGTAGAATCGTCGAAATTTTTATAGTGTTTAGTTAAAGTTTATTCGCATTGATTAAGATCATTTTCTTTTTCATGATTTTTTTCATGAAATTCAACTGTTTTTATCGAAATTATTTTTTCCGTTATTTTCAATTTTTTTTTGTTGTTATGTATTTAAAAATTTTTGAACTTAATTATAATGATAATCTTGTAGAGGCAAGATAGGCGAGTATGACTCATATCGTGTTGAAAGGCAAGATTCGGCTGCTGCCATCGATAGGAGTAAATCTGCCATTTAAAAATCCGAGTGGTGGCCCACTAATGGTCCACCTGTAACTTCTATTGTCGAGTGACTCCTTAACAAAAAGTTCTAGCTGTACCAACAACTTGCAGAGCTAGCTTAACCGGGACTGGTCGCTTACCACTTATTTTATAATCTCTTATTTATTGAAATATTTTTGCTCATAATTAACTTCACTAGTGGATGATAGAGAAACAATAATAGATGATGAAACAGTTTTCTTTTTTTTATAATGTCCGGACTGATTGTTTTTCGATAATGGGAGATTAAAAAATCGTTGGTGACCTTTTATCTTGTGGGTTTTGAGGTTAAGTTGAGGTCATGGGATATTTCTTATCTAATTATTCAATTATTTTCTTTATTTTATTTAATTATTTTGGTTCAATTAAATTTTAAATTTTGTTTTGCTGGATTATTTTGTTTTAAAAAATTTTTTTGCGGTAGTTTGAGTTATTTTTTCTGAACATTCGCCATCTATCTTATGTTGATTATAAAAGTTCTAATTCCTCTTAAATCCTCTTAAAACATTTCCTTTTTTTTTATTTTGCAAAAATTGAGTTATCATGGATAAAATGATGAAGCGGAATCGTACTCGAATGTTTGTTAGAATGAAACTTTTTTTGCTAAAGAATCGCTTGTGGATGAAATTGCAAGTGTCTCTTGGCCATATGAAACTCTTTTGAGTATTCAGAAGTATATGATGAAAATGCTTAAGGGAAATTGATATGAAAATTAAACCATTATTGATTAACCTTTAACCAAATTTGTTATCTAAAACAGTTCTTTAGTTAAAATATTGTTTTATCATTGGAATTGCATTGCATTATGTACAGCAAGTTTTTGCATTATGTACAAGTTTTTCTAAAACCAAATCATTGTTAAAGTTTTCAAAAGTAGAAAAGATAGGTTATGCATTTCTGGTTCCTCATAAATCCAGTTATATAGAACGGTTTATCTTTATTATCGCGCAACCGGTAAGTTTAATTGGTTAAAAGATATTGACAGGAATTAGCAATTATTAAGTGCTTACATCTTATTTGTTGCTTGATCGTCTTATTATTTCCAAATTTTATTAACCGAACTGCCATCGCCGAATTAAGTTTTATCATATTAAATTCATTGATTTAACGTTCCTTTTTTCAAATATTTATTTTTTATTCTGTAATTAATTTCGATTAGATTTTAGGGAAAACGATCTGAAACAAGTGCATTAACGTTGGAAAAGAATATATACAAGACCAAAACAGATAAATTTGAAAAACCACCCAATATGGCAACGGAAGAACCGACAAATATCATTCAAGATACATTTCAAGGTAAATATTTGCCTTCCTTTGGTCAATATTTCAATTTAAAGATGTAAAAGTTGTAAAATATATATTTCGATACATTATACATTATTATTTTATTCATTAGTTTATTAACATTTAATTATTGTCTATCCTAATGCATGCTTGAAGTTACTTTTCTGAATGAAATTCCTTAGTTTCGTAATAACAATGTTTATTTTCCCTTTTTTCCTTCTGTTCCCATAAATTCTATTTGTTTGATACCTCATTTCAGTTTTTTTTCACTTCCAAGATTTTGACTGGTTGTGTTGCGAGTTTTTTTATCTTCTTATTTTTTTAAATCTGCCTTTAGAGATTCATTTGGTTAATAGATGCATTTAATTTACAATTATGTTTGAGCAGGAGAGACTGAGGTCTTCGTTTATTAGTTTCGTGCAAGTTTCATTTCTTTTACTGAGAACATATGCTAAGAAATCATTTTTTATAGAATTGGCACTAAATTTGATTTATAGAAATATTTAGGGATGGTTACTTGTACTAGGGGAGGTAATACATTAAAGGTAAATTTCCCCGTAGTGAAAGTTTCACTGTTCTATAACCTTTGTGTTTCATCGTCAATCTGTTCAAAAAAAGGAATGTATCTTTTGGTGAAGCGACATTTCCGTTGCAGAATTTATCTCGATTCATTGTCAGATCATTCAAAGAGCAAAACATTTAATCTGAACCTCGTTGACGATTATATCCGATGATTACCTTAATTAACCCTAGCTTGTTTCTAGTAGCTGTAAGATACAAAGTTGAAACAGTGACGAAAATATGGATTGTAAAGTCGGCATTTTCAGAGTATACTCAGTTAAATTTTTCGCAAAATTCCCGTCCCAGTCTTAATGCAAATCGTACTGAGGATATTGAGAAATCGGAATATATCAGTGATTCGATTTTAGATATTAGTCCTTTAAAAGGTAACTTTTATAAGTGTGCGAACAGCACAATGATTTATCATACGTTTACAATCCTATGATTTCATTTACAAGTGGCGAGAAAATAGGTTTATCTAGTAGATTATTTCACCTTTTCACCAATCGCTATCTCTCTTACAGAACAACCTTTCTCTAATACTGTGTATAATATCGATAAACTTCTACATGCAAAAAAATTGATATCTAAGGATTCTACCGCTAAGGGATTAAATCATGTTGTGCATTTGTCAGGCAGCAGAAATACAAATTTGGTAGAAAATAAAGAAATTTCATCAACAGTCATTTTTCATTCAGAATCAGGGTATGAATTGTCCGAATCCTTCAAGCATGCGGCTGATATTTTCTATACAAATCGATTTTTTTCTGGTTATAAGAGTTACTCAGATTTCTCTGAAAACTCAGATGTTTCATTCGAATCAGAGAAATTACAACGAGAAGATTCTTTGGAAACGACTATTAGTGATTTAAACAGAAAGCATAATTTTTCTGAAAGTTTGGTAATTATTTTATGGAATATAAAAATCGGTCATCCGATTTCGGTATCACATCAGATGATGCAGGAGTGGCGTCCAGTCAGATCATGTTCACTTATTTTCAACTAAGAAGCGTCCAGTCAGATCATGTTCACTTATTTTCAACTCGGATGATCGAAGTTTTCTTCCGGATCCCTCGATTTATTCTGAAGTAATGGAAAAATTTAAAGAGCAAAACATGGAAGAACAAACAGAAATTAATCGTGAAGAGTTGTCCTTTTCTTTTGATGGTTTGGCTAATATTATTGAATCTTCAGCCCCTTCGATCTTGTAGACAAGAATTTTGCCAATAAACGAGGCAATGCGGATGATTTCCACAGTTTGACATTTCAGAAAGGTATTGTTTCAAATTTCACTCGTTAAATTCATTATAAATCCTTTTTCTACAAAAGTTTGTCCATTTATTCGAATGTTATTTGCATGTGACGTTCATATTTAGTTCCATTTTATTTGCCAACTAAAGTAAATAAAATTATCCCTATCTTTGTTTCGTATGTAATTCTTGTTTTTGCCTTTCTAATGATTGGTATTTCCATTTGTTTTTTGTTCATACCTGAGCTTAATAATGTTATGATATTATTTTAAAATTCTGAAAGGATTAAGCAAAACGATATTTATAAGATTTCTTTCCTCATATATTATCATCGCCACTTTTATCATCAGCTGATTTGGAGGCTTAGTGATCTACTTCAGTTACAGAAGATTATGCCGATTCAGCCGTTGAACAAAAAGCACGTTCACCTATTATTCTTGACGAGGAGAAAGAGAATGATGAATTAAGTCAAAGAGCCATAATAGATGATATACCTCGAACACCGAAACGTGCAGTTATTACATCATTTTTGGATCCCATGAGGTTTTATTTATTTCATTAGTGCTATTTTAAAAAAATTTTTTGGGTTTCATTTTATATAATTTATTCACATTTCTGGCCCTAATATATGACATATATTTATATTTTTATTTATTTATTTATATTTATACATTTTATATCATACACTATAAAGACGAAAGTCTGCGTCCATATAGCTGCAATTTGTTCGATCTTGCTATAGGCTGTGAAACATGGCCAATGAGAGTGGAAGATATTAAGAAGCTATTAGCCTTGTGATCACTTGTGTCTAAAGTACATTTTACGGATCCGCCGAACAGATAAAATCGCATATGATTTGTATTCACCTTCAGATACATACCACTCAGATACCACCTGTATTAATAATATTATGACAGAGTGTTACCTTCGCTGTTTAGGGCATGCTACGTCCACCACAAGAGCTGACGTATATTTCATTACTTGCTAAACCCTGTGATGGTTGGCGTCAAAAGCAGAGGAGGACCAGTCAAGACCTTTTGAACGTATAGGGGGACCAGCGATATATGGACTTAGACGATAGAAAAAGGAATGGCTTCTATTACTACTAGCGATGGCGTCAGATCGAACAGCTTGGAGACGTCTTACTCTTGTAACCTGCGGGGCCAGCCTAACGTAATAATGAGAGCTGTTAGAAAAAGAATTTGTACATTTTATATATGTTTATAGAACCTATACATTTTAGTATGTTTATACATATCTATTTTAATGTATATTTTTTTGGGCAAACGGGAAATTATTATTTTAGCCCGCCGTCATTTTTAACAGAATTTTTATTTGTATCAGTTGGTTTGGCAGCAATAGGGATATGTTCATTCATCGCCTATAGGTACTATAGAGGACGATAATTGTTTTTGGTAATTATTTTATCTTTTAAAAGTTTTAATTGTTTGTTTTCGTGTGACCATTTTTTGGTAAAATTATTTGCTGCATAGAGCTGTATGAAGATTGCCTTCAAATGTTTCGTAATAAAATTCATTTTTTTAAACTGAGAATTTTTTAGGTTATCATTTTTGATGGGAAATTGTTTGAACCAATTTTAAGTTTTAATTCCATTGGCTTATTTTTCTAGCGATATTGGATTTATTTAATGCTTTGTATTAGATTTCCTTGCTCTTGCAGTTTTAGGGAGGAAAAATCAAATCAGTGATGTTTGATTTTCATTCGTTCCCTGAAATTTATTTTATTATTTCTCTGCAATTTTCTTAAGTGGAAGTTTTTCATAAAATACTAATTTCAGAATGTTCACTTTCATGGTTTTGATTGTGGAGTCGTTTTTTGGAATGAAATAGTGATACTTTATTACTAACTAGGAAATTTCATCATTAATAAAAAAACTTTGCTTTAATCTCTGTCTTTTTTCTATATTGTTATGAAATTCTCGCAAATTATTCAAATATATTTGCGCAATACGAGTCAGTTACATTAAATTAAAATGAATTTTTAAATTCACATTTGCAATTTTTCATCCTTCCCAATTTTATTTTAATTCATGTTTAATGCTTACCTTTCCTTCATTGTTTTATATATTTCGTTTTCTTCGTAATGGACTACATTCGCGAAAAATTGTTTTAAAATATATTCGGATTTTATAAATTGAATCGTTATGTTAGCATTATTTGTGGCGAGTATTGGAAGATTATTTTATTAATCTTGTATAGAAATAAAGAAATGATTATACAGTGGTTTCATGGCTATGTTCGATCATACATCTGGCAGCTTGCATTCTTTGCAGTGTCCCACTAAAAAATAGATGTTTTCGGGAAAAATTGGATTTGGATTTTTTTTGAATCGAATCTAATTCCTCAAGGATTGACGTTTGATAAATAATAAACTTTTTAAGAATGAAAAATATAAGTTTTGCAAATATAGTTAAGAAGGTCTATATTAGGTTAACGAATAAAAGATTCGGTAAGAAAGTGCCTCACGTTGTTTGAACTCCTTCATTGACCTTATTTGGTAATTCAACTGGCTCAAATTGGCTATCGTCTTCTAATCCTCCCCAGGTTCGCCTTCTTTCTGCTGGCGCTTCATTATAATTTCTTATCTGCAATTTGCGTGGTATCATAAATTTTTATCAAATTTTTAATTCTACGAGTCTTGCGAGATTTGGCTTTTGTTTAAAGGTTAAATTTATTCTTTATTTCAATAATGAACCTAAATTTACAAGGGAGATTTCCACTGCGTCAAATTTTTTTGGTTTTGGATCTCTTCAAGTTTGGCTTACATCTCTCGTCTCACTATTGAATCGAGAAATCTTCCAGAATTGACTTCTTACGCGGATTAATCAGCAATCGGTCGGGAATTAATTTTTTTAGATGGTTATCTTTTTCTAATATATATGAAATGTGGGTAATTAAATTGTCAACGACCGGAACGAAGGGACTAAAAGGGAAGATGAATTAGGATCAGGTAAACAATAAATTAATAAAATAAGTAATAAATAATTTAGAAATGAATAAGGAATTCAACGAAAAATGTCCATGGGATATATTTTTTTTGTTAGGCTTGCTCTGCTGACTTGGGCCAAACGAATTATATTCGGGAATCAGTCGGCGATGTAAGTACAAGTAAGTCGCTAGCATCCGGCATATGATAAATCTGACTAGATCTGCCAGCTAGCCTGGCTTTATAGGTCGACTGATTTGATTGATTCCAATCGAATTTTGTTTCCTTTGTTATTTAATCACTTCTTAGCCACAGAAACTAAGTTATAAGTTGTCAACGACGAGGTTTTTTTTCAAATTGACGACAGTGAAAGAGTATGCGGAATGAATTTAAATGAAATAAAATTTATTACCTTAATGCCATGATCAATTTTATGTTGCTCTAATTCCTCTTTCAGTTCAAATAACTGTGATTCGGGATTCGTTTTAGATGGAAATTCTGATGTATGATATTCACTTTCATCACCAATATCATAAATCTTCAAAGAATTTAAAGTATAATATAGAATAAAAATAATAATTTTCAAAAATTATATCGTTATTTCTGTTACTAGAGAATGTATGAACATATAGATTCCATAAACCGCCTAAATTTCATTTTATATTACAGGTTTATTCTCGTCAAACGATGGGAATTGAACGAATGCCGCCTTGGAAAGAAACAATAAATTATTCGACCATCCACGAGGTTCATTAAGGAATCAAATTTTGACGTTCTAAATAATCCTTAGTGTTTATATCTGATATTCTTTGATTTGAATATTCATTGATTTGAAATGGCATTTTAAATTTAAAAAAGTTCGTCGGTGGGTTATAAAATTTTCTCTCCCACTTAGAAAGTTTATTTCTCAAGACAGTCTAGCTATAATATAATATATTCCTTGATATTTAAATCTCAATAAGCAAATATGAGGTTAGTGCTCACTATTTTTGGTAAGGCTGGCTGCGCTGGTTACGATTAGAATTTTCCACCAGAGATTCACTTGATGATAGAGTTATTAATGAGTCGCCAGCACCACAATGATTTTTAATGACAGGTTTACTCCTGTCGGAGGCAGGAGCCGGACCACTAACTCTCAACATAATAATCTGGACTGCTAGCCACTCGGCTGTTCTGCCTCCAAAATCTGAATAAAATCGTCTCAGTAAACAGTTCTGAATACTGTATATTCACTCAAATAACTGGCTTTGAGCCCTTCTGCACTTGGAAGAATTTCGAAAAATTTTAACTTATCTAAAAAATTTTGACAAACCTCATTCTTTAAGCGGCTATCTGGAAGTTTATTTGAACGACTGTCCTCCATTTGCTTGTAACGTCGTAAGAGTGCGCAAATTTCTTCATAATATTCTAAAAAATTTTTATTCCAAATTCGAATTGTTTGAAACCATCAGATATGCGATTCATTTCCCTTAATGGTGGTCATAAGAAGTGGAATCCAGGTATTGCTTGGCTCCCATTCCTAGTTGTCTCTTAATTATCTCCCTGGTGTCTTGTTTTAACAGTAGAGTGAGCTAAAGCAGAAACGGTGAGCCAAAGCAGAAACGGTGAGCGCTATTGGAAAAATCGGTAAATTATAATGCAACAAAAAAATTGGATGTTGGATGTTCATTATTCTCATTATGGTTTCTTTTCTGAGGAGTTGAAAAGAATAAGTCTGTCTTTAAAACTTGGCTAATGGTTATTATCTTTCTTCACTTCCATATTTAGAAAATAAATACGGAAATTAAATTAACTCACCTTTATCCACTAAACTATTCTTGTCGTACTTCGTTAAATCAGTATTTCGATAACAACACTGCGTGCAAAAATTGAATATTATAATAATTACCAAAAAAGCTAGAATCAGTGCCATAATGCATATTACAACTTCGACTGCACTAAGTCCATTTTGCACAAAACCAATCATTTTCAACAATTTGTCATAAAATTTGTCGGAAATTTTTTGACTAAGCGATGAGGCGGCAATAAACAATTTTCGTATACATACGAAGTGCGAATATTAGAATGATTTTTTTGTGAAATTGAATGCAGAAATGTATTAAAATAATTAAAAATTAAGGAAACAAGTTAAGGAGGTGTTGGCTATTGTGGTTAAATTAAGCGGAAAGCCGTGATCCAATATTGAACCAACTGAAAAAAATACATAGAAAAGACGTTTTCGAATGCGAAAAATTTATAATGCGACACTTGATCGGACAAAATTAAATAAATTAACTTTAAGTGGAAAAAAAATGTGATTCGCCAAAGAATTAGAATAGAAATAGGAATATGAGAAAGGAACTGAGATAAGCTTAATTTTTATTACATTTCCAAAATATTCCGCATTCCGAATCTCTTCGATTTCGACTTTTAACTATGTAGGACAAATGAATACAGGCAGCATAGCACCGCTACCGATGATGATGAATGACTAGAATCATCGATTGAATGAAACGAAGTTTGCGAAAATTGCTTCTAAAACAGGGTTTCAGTACAATGTAGTTTCTCCATTATAATCACTACAGTTTCTCCACACATTCTTCGCAATTTTAGCGAAATATTTTTGTTATTCTTGGACGCAAAACGATCGAATCTATTGTTAAATTTATTTGTTTTATTGCAAAGCATAAAATGTTAAAATTAAATTTCGTACTTTCTTAAGCATTTTTTAAATCATATTTAATATTGTTTTTTTCGTGAAAAACAGTTTTAAAAAAAATCGAAAAAGTCATTCAGTAAAAGCAATAGTTATTTGAATCAATAATATATTTAAAAAATTATAAAATGGATTTAAATAATTGATAATTAAATAAACGAATTTAATAATTTTATAATTGATTAATTAATGATGTCTTCTAACAGCTCTCACCATTACTGGTTAGGCTGGCTTCACTGGCCACAAGGGTAAAGGGTAACGTTTCTAAGCTGCGCCATCTAATGCCATCGACGACACGAATAGAAGCCATTTCTTCCATTGTTTAAGTCCAAATATTGCTGGTTCACCTAAATGTACAAAATCTTCTCTGACCGTGTCAGTCCAGGTCTTGATTGGTCCATCATAGGATTTAGCAACTAACGAATATGATACGAAATATATCAACTCTTGTGGTGAGCGACGAAGAACTTTCCTAACTAGTGAAGGTGACGCTCTGTGATAACATTATTAATGCAAGTGGTATTTGAACAAAGGTGGACGCAATCATGTGATATTTTATCCAATCGCTCGTAAAATATACCTTAGACAAGAGTGGTCAAAGGTTGATAGTTTCTTAATATCTTCCACTCTCATTGGCAATATATCGCAGTCGCGAGATCGAACGAATCGCGGCTATATAGATGCGGGAATTTCGTTTTTATGGTCATTTTGCAATAGCTCCAGAAAGGTTTCGTCAATTGGAAGAACGCATTTCTAGCTGCCATTATCCAGGTTGAAATTTCGGCATTAGAATGTATTCGGCATTATCTAAGGTATTTAAAATCAAGCACTTTCTCAACCAGCAATGAATTTATAAAAATAGGTTCTTAACATCAATGAATTAATAAAAATAAGTATTTTATCAACTTCTTGTATATAAGACAAAAAGACGACTTTCATTTTATTTATGATTCCGATTCTCGCTGCACCTGTTGACCCGTTGTTTAGCATTATTTGCATTTCATCATAACTATCAGTAAAAAAGGCTGCATCATTAGCATTCAAGATCTATATTACGATGCTTTGGACTGATTTGTTCACATCTTGAGTGCCGACAAGCGGTGTCCATTATCCAGTCTATCGCATAATTGAATATTGTAGGGGAAAGAACGCAGCCCTGACGGACACCAGTTTTTATTTCGAAGGAGTCTGTCAGTTTCCCATATACCAGTGCCAATTTACGCTGATGAAATTCTTTTATGAATCGAATGATTTTCTCTGGAACACCATCGCGTTCCTCCAAAGCGTCGTTCTATCAATCGAAGGCAGCTGCAAAGTCGATGAAACACGTGACAGTGTGTTGCAAATATCTGAAGCTATGTTAAAAATAACGTGAATATCTGGTCAGTGTAACCGCGTCCCGATCTGAATCCAGCTTGATTAGAGCGCATCCTGCTGTTCCATACTTCCATAGGTATGTTGAGTAAAAGAGAAGCAAAAATTTTTGCTGAGACGTCCAGTAGGTTGATTCCTCAAGAATTGTCGCAATATGTCCTATCATCTTAGAATTGGAGGCAGAATTGCTTTGCTCCAGTCATCTGGTAATATTTCTTTCTTCTAAACCAGAAAATACATTTGTTGAAGATGCGACGTGAAGGACGATGGACAACATTTGAAGAGTTCAGCTCGATAATCGATGATAAATAATTTTATTTATAAATCAGTGAAATTTAAGTGCAGAATGTTCATTATTTCTCTTTAGGCTCTCTTCGTTGCCTTGTCAAATAAATTTTGCTAGGGAATGACTCGATGATAGTAGTACAGTTGGGTCGTTGGTACCACCCGATAATAAAATTCAAACGAATTTCCATAAAACACCAACTTCAATCAAGTTCAGCTCAGTGCATCTAATTGCGAACAGTAGCAAAACTCGGATCGTCAATTCACTAACCTTGACAAATGTTGTATAGGTGAATTATAAAATCAAGTCCTGCTAGTATCAAGATTTTGTTTTTCTTTCCATGCTATTTTTAAAATTGATCTAATTCGTCTGATGAACGCAAAAAATTTTTTGTGCGATAAAATCTATAATGCGCAAAGATTCTGAAAATCGTTTACATGAGAAAATTCAAAGTACAACGGGGAAAACGAATTCAAATTTACCTTTTTCTTTTCTTCTAGTTTATTGCAACTCATTTTGGACAGGCGAAAATTGTTAAATCGTAGCAAAAAGTAGAAATCAATTTTTGCTTATTGAGTAGGAATAGCTGTGTCAACAAAAGCTGTGTCAAAGCATTCGCTAACTTTCAAGGATTTTCCACCACATTTTTTTTATCATGGATCTCTCGTTTGAAATTACGCCACGTTAATGCTAAGGATGAGGCACAAAATTTGTATTCTTTGAATGGTACTTTTCAGTGTGACAATTTTACAGAAAATACTTTAGGTTAAGATATAAGCGGGAACGGGGAACTATTCATATTACAAAGAACGACTGGCTTCTTAGGTGTATAGATTTTTGCAAAAAATAATTAAAGATCTATGAGAATTATTTACTTAAATATTAATTTATTGAAATAAACAAACAAATCGTTTTAATTTAGCGATTTGCGACTACTCTTGCGATTTCTATGTTGTTAGGCTTTCAAAAAATTTTTTGTTTCAGGAAAATTCACCTGCAGAAGGAACTAAAGAATTGGCTTATAAAAGGTAATAAAGCAATACCGAGCTAAAAGCTTCCAAACAACTTTTTTCCAACCTTCTTAACTTTTGGCTGATCAGTAATTTATTAAACAAATATTTTTTCATTATTTTTAGCTTTAAAATGAATGCAAAAATTAGTATTTACTGTCGTTAAAGAGCCTTCTCGAAAATGAATCTTATTAAATCATCCCATCGCTATATTCAGTTACTGAACTGGGTTTATATTCTAATCACCATGAAAAATCTGGCTAATGACAAGAATAAAGGCAATATCGACGTGGCCATAATAAAAGAAGCAACCGTGATCAAATGCCTCAAAATTTCTCCTATCTACATGATGGCTACTAAGGAAAAAATTTTAAATTCGAATAGGCAAACGAAGTATAAATACGACTATTTTCACAAAAAGTTTTGCTAAAATTTGGAATCAAATAAATTTTTCTGAAATAGAGCACTAATTTTTTAACCTAAGATATAGTGTAGTGGGCAGTTTTCGATTGCACGCTCCTTAAAGAAATTCTTATCATTAAAAATGAAGTCGGAGTGGTGCTATGGACTCTCCGGCAAAAGGACTGTATCCTAAAAGTAATTAGTGGAACCAGCCAAAGGAGAAATGCTATATACTGTTAACAAAAGAAGTAAGCCATAAAAGATAAAAAAGGAACTACATTGTCAATATATCTATGCCTTGTTTAATTTATAATTAAATTAAATAAGCTCAATCATACAAATTCTGCGCAAAGAATTGCACAAAAATTCAAAATGGTTTTTTAACAACTTCTTTTTCCAGTTTTATTTGCCACTGTCGAGTATTTTCTCAATTGCAATAAAATTAAGGATATTAGTATGGAAGGGATTTCTCTAATTTAATGTGACTGATACTGAGAAATCCTACCAATGGTTGTATAAAGCTGGACCAAAAGATCATTGAGGCATTATTCATAGCAGTACAAGAGCTAAGTACCAGATCAATCGAAGCAGGGGTCTGCCACATCAGACAGAAGTAGATTGTACTATTGTGCTAAAAAGCCTCAGAAATTGTTCAATTATAGGATGTACAGGCAGAAACTGAAGGATATAACCAAGTAGCTTACATGTTCTACAGGAATATTTACTTAATATATGGCTTAGATCCTCCCAAGACCATATAGGAATTTCTTAAAAAATTATAGAAATAACGAGGCCAAGGCTCTGTGAAGAAAGACTGGCCAGTCAACCCGATATCATTATACATAAGAACCAGAAATTAGCACTGGTTATTGACATAGCAATACCAAGTAACAGGAAAATTAGGAAGAAGGAATATGAGAAGCTAGAAAAATACCAGAGGCTGAAAGGGAACTAGATAAGACGTAGTAAAGAACAAAACAGAACAAATGGTGACAAAAGCACTAGAGGTTGTGACCCCTGAACTGGAAAAATGGCTGCAACAGATTCCAGAACATATATACATATATTTCTGCCCATAACAGCTAAGATGTTCCGAAAACCCTCAAGTTCCCAGGTCTCTGGTACAGAACCAGAGGTTGAGGACAACCCACATCACTCAAGAAGATAATAAAGAGGTTTTATAAATATATATATATAATATATATGCATATATGTTCGAGTTTAAGGATTGTAACTCTTTAAAAAAAACTATGCAAAGGCTAAAACGAAATCACCTTCACCTGCTTTACATTAGCTCCTTTGCTCCTTTCTCATTCTCACATCCAAGCATTTCGACTTTTGCTATTAAAGAACGTGGATAAATTGATAAACTAAAATAGTAACTTCGAGGGTTAACTTAACTCAGTAGAATAGTGAAATTAAGAAAATCAGATATAAATTATTTATGAATCATATAAACTAAGTTAAACACGTACGGTTTGCATGAGATTATTTGCATTATTCACAAAAAACGATATGTCACCTGCCATATAAAAACTCAGCATACACCATCATATTACGAATTTACGAATTATGCTAACGTTGTTTCGATTAATTTCATTTATTTCATTAATATTACATACTGCCGCCGTCAATGATGGTAGAATCAGCGAGAATCCTTTATCGACTGAAAGAGGAAGTGGTACAAATATGGGAAGCGGTGCAGTATGGAATGGAGGCAACGAAATCAGTCCACAAAAACCGATAAATACGGCAAGCTCCAATTTCCAGTATTTTTGTGGATACTGCATTATGAATTTAACGCAATCAAGTGATTGCAATCCAGGTAATTTCGATTTTAACAATGTAACGACGACTATAAGCAACCAGGGTCTCAACTTAGAAGGGGACAACTTCAAATGTGAACAGTGTCAATCTGAACAGCAAAGTAATTTCCAATCTTTTGGTGGTCGTAATTTTGGCTATGGTCAGGCACTTATTTTCAACTATAGGGGATTCGATTGCATCAGCTGTGATAGTAACCGAGATAATCAATGTCTTTTCAAGTGTCAAGGCTGCCACTTTGAAAGAAGAAGTAGTAGTGGTATCAAAATTGACAGAGGAGGGTGGTACCCGAGTAACCAGGGCCCTTGGAATCCGAATGACCAAGGAAGAAGCGGCTGGTATCCGAATAATCGAGGAGGAAATTGGTGGTATCCTGGTGGGCCAGGAGGTAGCGGGGGATATCCAGGCGGCCAGTCGTATCCGAGTGGTCAGGGATATCCTGGTGGTCAACAGTACCCGGGCGGCCAAGGATATCCAAGTAGCCAAGGGTACCCAGGTGGTCAAGGATACCCGGGGGTTCAAGGATACCCGAGAAGTCAAGGATACCCGGCAGGTCAAGGATACCCGGGAGGTCAGGGATACCCGGGAGGTCAAGGATATCCGGGAAGTCAAGGGCACCCGGGAGGTCAGGGATACCCGGGAGGTCAAGGATACCCGGGAGGCCAAGGATACCCGGGAGGTCAAGGATACCCGGGAGGCCAAGGATACCCGGGAGGCCAAGGATACCCGGGAGGCCAAGGATACCCGGGAGGTCAAGGATATCCGGGAGGTCAAGGAGGCGGTGGATGGAACAATCAAGGAGGAACTGGTTGGTATCCGTACAACCAAGCTGGAAATAGATACACGCAACAGAGTGGAAGTGGCTGGCCTATTAGAAACCAAGACAGTAACTGGAATCCAAACAGACAGACTCCGAACAGCCAAGGAACAAATAGTTGGCCTCAAACAGGAACTGGACCGAACTGGAACAGCCAAGGAACAAATGGATGGTATCCATCTATTCAAAGTGATTCGACAAAAAGATGGACCAATCTGAATGGTTATGGCTCAGATGGAAATCTGAGATCTAGAGGGCTGTATCAAAATAATAATGATCGAAGAAGCGATTTATTGCGCAGCAAATTTTATTATTATTGGTGAGTAAGTTGCGAAATTAAAGGAGCCCAGTGGAATTCATCCCAGTGATTTTTTTCGGAATGAATCAAAAATGACCTTTTTTTAAAAACGATTGATTAAGAAATCACTTCACTAAAAATATTTTGCCTTACTTGTTGACTTAATTTTTCAGGATTTCATTGTATTTCTGTCTTATCAGTTGCCTTATCAATTCTTCCTTACTTTTCCATAGTTTTATCAATTCTCGTTCATTTCTCGAGAATATTAATAAATTAATTTTAAACTGTAAAGTTTCTTTTTTCAATAAAATTATTATAAAAATGTCTTTATGCATGTTTCATTCAAATATTTTGCTTCATTTTCTATTAAACAAGCTTTTGCTTTGATTCCCTCTGTCGTAATTTCATAAGAAATTAGAGAAAATATTTATTTTAAATAATTTGCTAATTTCGTCGTAAATTTAACTAATAAATAGAAAAATATAGCGGACTTAAAGCAAATTATTCGCTCTTTTATACTTTTATACGAATATACTTATTTTTAAATTTTTTTTTTTTAAGAGTCCTCGCCATTACTGGTTAAACTTGCTGCGCTGGCTTATCGCATTGGGCAATTGCTAGGGATCCCTTGGCGACAGAAATACAGGTGAGTCGCCAGCAACACTCGGATTCTTGGACGGGTTTACTTCTGCGAGGAATATAATCTCAGTAATGGCTCTTCTAATTGAGCAACAACCCACTGAGCCACCCTATCATAAAGCAAAGTTATCTGAACGATTCCATGAAATTTTACGTGTATTTCTTTTCCTAGAAGTAATCAATAATTTCCAGTTTGCTTACGCTTCGTCGCTATTGGAATGAGAAAACCCCTCGGAAGTGAGTCCGCTGAGAATAAAAATGAATATACTTAAATCACCAGAAACGCTGAGGTGAACAATAAAATAGCAATAAGTGGAATCTAAGCAAACGAGATTTTAACGAATAATTAAACAAAAACTTAGGGTTGCATTAAAATTAAAATATTGAATAGGCCTTAGGAAAAAGGTAGAAAAAGGAAATTCAAATCAAGCAAAGTACTGCGTGTTAATCGTTTCGACATCGTTCAGCTCTGAAGGTCACATTTATTTAATTAGACTCACAAAATCGATTGATCCTTTCCCGATGACTTGTAAATGTCTATTGCTCCACATTATTCGGCCAGCAGTTTCGTTTGTTTATGATAGAAATCCCCACTTGATCACCACAAATTCTTATCTATAGGAAACATTAAATTCTGCAAATATAGAATTTTCTCTTCTGCTTTGGTTGGTTGCATAAGATGAGGTGTCTTCGCCAGTGAACCATCTGATAAACGTACCGGTTGAGCGCCACCTGCCTCCAATTTTAATTATAGGTTTCTCTGCCATCAAATTAGCACATGACATAAGCTCGGTTCCCGTCAAATCAACCATTCGGTTCCCTATTCCCGGACATTTCATCAAATTCAGAAGCAGCAATAACAGAAAAAAGTTATGGAAAATGAAATGAAGGTGAAAATGGACTTACAGCGATTAAATTGATAGAAAATAGAGAAAACATCATAATAATAAGTTTGTTATATTAAATTCTAACTAACTAAAATTCTAAATTAAAAACACGTGGAATTAAATTTGCACATTGCATTGCTGCAAAAATTCATCTTAAGCAAAGGCCGAGAAATTCAAATTTGCATTGCATCCGATCAGACGCCCCTCGTTGATTCCATGGAATATCAAACGAGGATTTTCCAAAATTCATTTTAGCCACATCTTAATTTGATTTACGAACAGATTCTGTTGCAGTACACTCTGCTAAACTCGAATAGAGCTCATCATTTCTTGTTTTATTAATTTCGAGTATTCCAAACGAAACGCATAAACCGAATTTTGGCATTAGCCAAATTGGCATTAATTTTTTATATTTAGTGGATTGAACGAGGCACTGCTATATTTTCATTTAGCAGCACTCGTTATTTCTCGTTTAGCACTATTACTAGTGTACTTTGTTGACTGGAAGATTACGTGGAAACAAATGGGATATCAGAACCAAAATTTCAGCCATATGGGCAGAATTAGTCCAGCCAATGGACACGAATCGAGCCTCTAATAATTGGCAACTGCCGAAGCAACATGCCACTCCATTAAACGTGTAGTACAGGCAACGTTGTGATCTCTAAGATCTCTAATATTAATTTTCAAAGTTCAAATAATTTTCAGCTAAATTTTAAACTTTTAAATTTTCGAATCCGTTCATTACAATAAATTCGCATTACTTTGGAATTATTATGATGATTGATCTTCTATGGATCTTCTCATCAATTGCTTCATTTTAATTAAAATGCACTTAAATGTCAAGTGGTTAGTCCACATTATTTCTGGTTAGGCTTTTATGTATTAGCCAAAAATTTTTGCCTAGAATATTGGCTATAAAAGTATAAGCAGGCTGCCAGCACCTCCTGAGGCTTTTTTGATATTTTACTACCGAGCGCACGAATAGAACCACCGACTCATAACATGATAATCTAAGCCACAATCCACTCACTTAACGACATTTAATATGGAATAAAAGTTGAAATAATGATTCGTTAATAGCAGTTTTCAGCTAAACAAACAAAAGGCTCTTTTATCCCACATCGGCGGTGAGTGAAACAATTAATAAATGACTTTTGGAATTCAGCATCATTTCTATTGACTGCATTCCGTATTTTATAATATTTCTTCAACGAAGAATCCGTAAAGTCATAGACATGTCAAAGTCAATTTATAACAAAATGCTTTAACAAAGTACTAAAACTAAAGTTAATATTGTGCTAGAAGCATTTCAAATGAGCAGTGTTTCAGTCTAATTTTAGGATTAAGGCAGAATACAAGAAAATGAAAAAAGCAATTTATGATAGTGCTCATTATTTCTTGTTAGCTGTGAATTGGCAGAAATTTTTGCCAGCGATTTGATAGAAGTACGAGTGGCTTACCTCCCGACTTAACTTTTGTGGCAAGTTTACTTCTATCAAAATGCAAGCAATCGAACCTAAGGTATTGAACATAAATCGAATCAACCGTAGCACTCGACCACTGCTGCCTCATACAAGCTTAAGTGGCTCATCAGCCTTTTAAACCACACTTTTAATGACGAAGCCTGCTTTAAATCAAAAGGCAAACGTCAACCCACATTGTTTGGACTGAAATTACGATTAGCTAAAAATTTTGTCATCGAAATTTATGAAATACATAAATACATTTTTTTACATCTCACTTGTTATTTGAACAATTTTCAATTTTTCTTCAAATATTTTTCTTAAGAAAGATCGGATTTTTTTGAAATGAGTATTTGATTTGTTAAAATAGGGCAAATGACGATTAAAAGATCCTCGGTTCTTTTCTATTCTTTCCTATTAAAATGTACCGAAGGTCATTATGCAAATTGAATGTATTGGTTCGTTTGTTCACTGAAATGGTTAACATCAAGTAAGGAATATACAGCCGATTTTTTCAACTGAAATTTTTATTTTTTGGTGCTTTCATATTTTACAGTTTGTTTTGGCTAATAAATAGCCACAAATTTTTTGCTTCATGAATTCACAAAGTGTATCAATGGGCACCTATGAAGATCAACTAAATTTAATATTCAATGATCATTAAATTCGATACTAAGTTTGCCGTTGAAGATGTCTGGCAAATTACCATAGAAATTATGAAATGGTTATTCAGATCTATTAAAAGATAGTTATTCTTTTTGGAGATCGAGTGAACAAATTTATTACTTCTTTTAAAGAGTTCATCATTTCTGCTTTGGCTAGTTTAACTGTTGAAACTTTTTCACCAGAGACTGATTATTTTGGAATTAAAAGTGCAGGTGAATGGCCCAGAACCACTCAGATTTCACTTTTAATAGCTTTATTCCTCTCAAAGCACTAGAATCGAACCAACGATTCTTTACCGAAGCATGATATCACTTTGTGACCCTAATAATTTAATCAAATATTAATATCAAATATTGTGAATAACCTTTTCATCTTTGATTAAATTTATTTGTTTCCTTAACGTGATTTATAACTTCATTTTTCATAGTTCACACCATTTTAGGATTTATATTAATAAATCGCCCAGCCAGGATCTTAAAGTATTATTTGGCCCATTTTTCATATTTTTACAAAAACTATAGTAATTTTGGCCGATTTATTTTCATTGCTTTTTGTAAAATAGTGCAATATTTCAGCAGTTGTTTCACTGAAATGAAATATTCACTTGAAATGATTGCTTCTGTTTAATCAAATGAATAATATGAAAAATTAAAATTTTTGCCGAATATTGGTGGAATGTTAAAAATGGTATTTTCTATAACCATTTTTGTATATTTTCTAATTGATCATACTTCTTGTTCAAAAGTGCTGATGTATGTGCCTACACTTTCATACAGCCATGTGGCATTCAATGGAAAATTGGCCGACTTATTAGTAAAATCAGGCTACGATGTGGTTAATTGTTTTTTTCATAAACATTATATTTAATAAAATTAATCATGATTTATTAATTAATGATTTATTATATTAAATTCACTTCATCAATTTCATCTTAATTTTTAATTGTTTTTTATTCTGAAGTAATAAATAGAATATTCTTTGGCAGTTTTTCTTATTAGATTTTTAATTTTTCAGTATAAAATGTCTTATTTAAATTAGGGAAAAATAAGAGAAGAATAGAGCACTTCTTTTCAGACAGTTCTATTGGTTAATATTGACACAAATGTAAAAAACAATGGAACTGAACTCGCGAAGGTTAAAAAGATTTCATTTATTTCGTTTTACAAAGCTGAATTTCGCACTCGAACAACTCGAGTAATTAAAGTTCTTATTGAGAATAAAAAAGGAACCACAAGACTACATATAGGAAATTTGAACCACAAAAATCCATAGCTATGAGGATTTGTATGAAAATCTTTAAAAATTATGACAACTGAATTTCATCAATATTGCCAAAAATTTGAATTGTTTTTTTTATTGCTTTTGACGTCTTTATCAAAGTAGAAAACAATAAAAGTAATAGTCTAGCAAAAGAATACTTTAGGTCTTAAAGCTACAAGCAGCGTCTGAAGAAAATTTTCTTTCACAGACACTTTGGAACAATCCTGGACCTTTTGAAGATAGTTCAATTTTGAATCCTCGAATTATAATCAAGCTCTTAAAAGTTTCTTCAATTCTACTTGAATATTGCCGAGGCTCGTATAATTTATTAATTTCATTCTTTTATAGTATTTTGGAATAAATCGTAGATTAACAAGGCAATTTTTTTTTATAAGGAACTCTATTTTACAATAGAAATGGTGTTTTTTCCTTTATAAACGTAAAATTCTAAAGGTAAAGGTAAGAATAAAGCATTTATAGAAGAAATTAAACTGGAGGGACTTAATTAACAAATCTTTTTGACTGTATCTGCCAATTTCACATTCATGAACTTCTAAATTTTTAGTGCAATCGGCGGAAAATAACCTAATCATTGAACTGAAACGTGAAAATTTTGAATTAGGCATGATTGAACAATATGATGCCTGTGGTTTTGGCATATTTCAGCTAATAGGAATTAAGAATATAGTTTGGTTGAGTGCAACAGCCATTTATGGACCGCAACCTGCAGCCCTTGGCATCAAGTACCCTCTATCTTATCTTCCTGGTACGATTCACTGCATCAAACTTTTTGGCTTTTGACAATTTTGCCGAATTTAATCGAAATTGAAAACCGATTTAAAATTCTATAATTTTTTTCAAAAACCCACTAGGTGAAAAATATTGGAAAAACATCTTGGAATGAGTTCCAAGATATTGTTGCATTATTATGAATTTATAAGTCTATAAATGTACCAAAAAACAAGTAAGAAGAATCAACGAATTCATTTCTCGAGATTTTCCTCTTATGATTCTTAGTTATTGCAGAAATTATTTGCAGAATTGCTATCGCCCATGGATGATAGAATGTCTTTTATACAACGTGTTGAAAATGTGCTAATTGCTACGGTAGTTGTCACTTCTAACAAATTCAAATTCAACGATAAATTGTTTTAAGGCTAATAATATTTAACCAAAATATTTAAAGTTTATTGTAAACTTTATTAACGAACATAAAGGCATTTAACTAAATAAATTCGTATTTCAGATCGCTTCTTTTCTTCACAGAGTATTTTTAGCTCACCAATCCAATGTTTTCCACGAAAAACAACAATCATTAGTGGATTTATTCGAAGTGAATTCTCAGAAAAATTATACTCCTCAATACCTAATAAAATCCGACATTTGTATGGATTAAGCAGTTAAAGAAACTGACTGAAATACTTACAGCTTTCTAAAAGAGCGCAGTCAATCATCGCAAACACATCACCGTTGCTTGATTTTCCAGCGCCAATGAGTGAAAAAATTTTACATGTTGCTGGCTTTACTGTAATGAAACAGAAATATATTTTAAACAAGGTGCACCATTTACAATAATAACCATTTCTTCATGAAATGTAATTGATCATTCGGTAGTTGAAAAATAAAATATATTTTTAAAAATGTGATTTTTTTCAGGCTATAGAAGAGAATTAAACTGAGCATCGCATTTCACCAATTCCCGTGCTACTAAAGTTGGACCATCTTTTCAGTTTTGGTCGCAAATAGCCAATTCTTCATCGGAAGGTTTTATGATAATGTCATTTGGTTCAATTGCTAAAATTTCGCAAATGGACGATCGTATGAGAAATATATTCTTCGAAATTTTCCGTTCATTTCCACGAATTAATTTCATCGTTAAATACGAAACAATCGACGAACCAGTGAAAAAGATCGAGGACAATATATTTCTTGCTAAATGGATTCCACAGATCGAACTTATGAGTAAGTCATTAATCATATGAGGAATCCTCGAAACTGTCATAATACGCTGATTTTCGCTGTAATTCTAATTATGTTGAAATTATCAATATGATCTGATAAGAGCTGATCTGAAGAACCGAAGTTGATAAGTCGATTAGCTGAGTAGAAATAAATACTTCCCCCAAATTTGGCCGTATTTTTACATTTAGGCCACGAAAAATTTATTGCAATCATAACACATGGTGGTTGGAGTTCAGTACTTGAATCGCTAATCTATAGTCGGCCGATGATTCTAATGCCACTTTTTGGAGATCATTTTAAAAATGCTCAAGTTATACGGCAAAAACAAATTGGTGTTATCATAGACAAAAATGGAATGGATAAAAAGGTTTTGCATCAAGCGATAATTGAAATTCTTCAAAATACCAAGTAAATTTTAAATTCGAATTTTAATTTCTTAAATATAATTAGTTTCCACATTTAGTTTTCGGAATTGTCGGAAAAGAAAGTTGAGATTTTAGCAAAATTCGATATCGTCTAAAGTAACTAATAAATAAGTTAATGAAAATATAAAATATTATATTCTAATACAAATAATAAAATTTTTATGTATAAGGAACACTATAATAAAAATATAATAAATTCATAAAAATACTTTCTGTTCGATTAAATTATTTCCTATTTTAATAGTCACGTTTATTTGCCTTTCAGATATAAAACGAATTGCATTAAATATGCAAATATGTTAAGCGAAACAGCGAGATTTTCATCAATATCGCATCATATATATCGCGTAATAAAATTTCAGTCGAAACAATCATTTCTGCAAATTCGCGAACCTTTATTAACTTTCACTGAAAGAAACCATATTATTATTATTTTTACCATCATTCTGTTGACCACCATTTTATCATTCTAAAATATAAATTATAATGTTAAAGACAAAGGAACACAAATACTGGCTGAGGACGAACAATGATTATTATTGTATTTATTAGGCAATTTTTATAACATTTCGTAATGGAATTGCTTATAAATTTATAAAGTTTAGCAACGAGTTCACCATCGAATATTTACATATTCATTTGCAGCATTTGCATATTCAAAACAAATCATTTCGTTAAACCTTAGGAGAATATAGTATCAGCTATCGAGAGCTATTTTTTTCAAAAAAAATTAGCGATATTAGCGCAAAGAAATCGCGTAAAATTTGTCGAAATACATATGATTTCTGATTAGATGGTGATAGGGACTGCTGCTATCCTCATCTTTAACGTAATGGTCATATTCAAGCCGGAAAAGCATTCAAATTTCTCCCCATTTTTGGCATTTCCTCCAAATTATAGCTGCAAGTCCATGACTATTGCCTGCTTTGATTTATTTTATTGAGCGGCTAGAATTTAAGACGAATGTACCCACACTCGTTCTTCATTAATAGTTGATCTTGAGCTCGTAAATCCTTCTTTGGCCAAAGTATTTTTAACACAAATGTGAGTACATAGATCCGATGAAGTTCCAGTGCTCATCGGGAATTGCCTAAAGACGCATCAGTGAGTGCTCACCCAATCCAAGTTTTGCGAATCAAACAAATAAAGCTGAATTTTCTTAGAGCCTTTTGGATCTTAAAAAATGTTAAATTGTAAAGGCACTCATTTCATATTTAAGGATAAAAAATTTAGATCAAATAAAAAATTTCAATTTCAAAACCTTCCTTATGATAATAATAAATGATACGATCACATAATTGGAACCTTCATTAGATCTGAGATATCGATAATATTTTCTTGTAACTATTTCTCGTCTGGTTGGCTGAACCTCTGAGCTGGATGAAACCTCTTCAAATAGTCATATGAGGATAGAATTACAGCTGGGTCCTCAGCCACAGGAAATTCTTTTAAAGTTAGGTTTATTCCCTTTCTTCAACGATTGAATGTCAGGTCTACGATGAACTTAACCAACTGAACCAATATTCTAGTCGATCACCGACGATGTCGCCAAATTCAAAGTTATAAAGAAATTTTTAATTCTATAAGCAATTTCTTTGATTCTAAAGAATTACCAGTTTAACCCGCTTTTCGTTTAACAAAGCTTTCCTTCAAGGTCGACTTTATTTCTTAATTCAAGCGAAAACTCATCATTTCCGTTGACAAACTTTGCCCAGAAGCCTCTGAGCTGGAAGTGTAAGTGGGGCGCCAGGATTTTTAGAGGATGGATGCGTTTGCGCCAACCGGAGCGCTCCGAAATGATGGTGAAGAACTCTGAACCAATATGAAACCAAAGTCCTCTAAAACTACTGGTTTCAACCTCTCTAATTTTCATAATTTTACAATGTAAAAGTAGTTTATGGACATTTTAAAACGATAATTTCATCGGCGCGAACGAAGAGAAATGGAGTGAGACGAAGTGAGTGAGAAGAATTTTCGCTGTTTAACTTGGCACCTTCGATTGCGGTAAAAATCTGCTCGAACAGCGATCTCCCTGCGTTCCTTTTTCCACGTCAAATTTCTCACTCCTCCAAAAGAAAGATTCCTCAATCGCCAAACTGCCATCACAAAGTGACAGAAAATTTGCGAAACGCCGACTGCAGCCGCGTTTCGAATGGCTAAAACGCGTCTTATCTCACTAATGGCTCGTCGAATTGATTTCGTATTAGCGCAGTTGGCGTATCTTTTACTGATAAATAAGGATTGGCTATGAGTATTGTTTTTCTCGTTTATTATATTATTTTTATGGGAAATTCTTTTTCCTCTACGAATTTTTAAAGTCCACAATTTTCACGAAACTCGTAGTTTTCCTGGGACCTTCAAAAGCATTCGCAGCCTTCGCGAGATTGCCAGAGGGTTCCACGAGACTCTCAAAAAAGTCCTCTCTTTTAGCGTTTGCCGGGCACTCAAGTAAATCGGCGTCTTTCCAGGAACTCTCCAAAAATTCTACAGCTTTGAAGACTTTGGAAGAAATTTGTAGTTTTCATCTGAATTTTTGAATGAGCAGAAAAATTTATTGTCTGTACTTAAATAAATGGGGATAGGATGGCTTAGTGGGTTGTTGCTCAGTTCGGAGCGCCGATACTAAGGTTCTATTCCCATCCGGAGTAAACCTATCCAAAAATCCGGGTGATGCTGGCGATTCACCTGTAACACCGAGGAACTCTCTAGCATATTTGTCCAATGCGACAAGCCAGCGGAGCAAGTTTAACCAGTAATGGTGAAAAGTCTTTAAAAAAAATTTGAATAAATAAATGAATAAAAAATGTTAAGAAGCAACGCTGTGAATGTTTTGTGGAAGCGTTTAGCATATAATTGTTTTTTGTTGGTCAAATATATTAGTTTATTTCTGTTTCAAAAAAATATTTTGCAGAATGTTGGATGATGTGATTGGATTAGATTCATTGAAAGTTCCCTTATATGGTGTTTTGGCTTTTGTTGGTTTATATTTTACAAGGTTCTTTTTTTTAAAAACGACAAGGTTTTTACATTATTTCTTTATTATTTTAATATTTTGTTGTTTCTTATAAATTTACAATTGCAGGAGATATTTTAAAGGTGCTCAGTTTCGCGAAATTGTCTCTGTCGAAGGGAAAGTTGCGCTTATTACCGGTTCCAATAGTGGAATAGGTAAGCAAATTGCAAGGGAACTTAATATACGTGGCGCTGAAGTGTATATGCTATGTAAAGATTTCGGACGAGCAATGAAGGCGAAATCGGATCTCACAAAGGTTCTTTTAAAAATTTTTACGACGTTTGTAGATTGTTTGGATGATTTTTTTTTCTAAAACCATTTCCTAGTTAAGCCTTCTTACCTGTCTTGGGGGCCAGTCAAATTTCAAAGGGACAACTTAGTGATAGAAATATAGGTGCCAACATCATCAATATTTTTGCGAGATAAATACGCTCCTACGAGGAGTAGAATTCCAGCTTCGACGTCCTCAAATGCGTGATTCATGAATTCGCCTTAGCGCAAGTAAAATGTTGCAAATACAAATACAAAATGCAAACGAACTGGTCTTAATGATTGGCAGAATTAATAAGCAAAAGGTATATAGCGAAGTAAACTAATAGTTGCAAGGTTCCATAGAAAAACTCTAAGCTGAAGGTTGTTAAGGTAACTAGAAGAATGGAGGAAAAGTACGCTTATAGACTGAAATTTACGATCTGTTGCCTCATATTTCGAAACATTATCCACTGGCATTTGGAATTGCTCGCAAGAACAAACTTGGCTATTGGATAGTTTATATTGCAGATTTGTGATATATCCAAAAAATGAAATTTAGCTTGGTTGTAATCCTACACGATTGATTATCAAGAGTATCGATCTAGCAAATTTCCAGTCAATACGCAGTTTCATCAAGGATTTTTCTAGCGGTAAATTTTTTTCTGCGTTTTTATTGTCTTTATAATTATTCTGAAATTCTAACTTTACTTCCTAGTTCGTTATCTGTGAATTTCTAACCGATTTAAAATATGAATTTAAAAATTAATGGAAATCTAAAGAATTTGGAATATAATTGAAATATTTAATAAATAATAACTGAAATTTACTAAATAATTTAGACAAATTATTTTTTTTAATTTTCATTTGTATATATATGCATTGATTGATTGATAATATTAACTGTTTTTGTGATTTTTTTTGAAATTGATTCCAACTAAAACTAATTTTAGTTTTTAGAAGTAGAAAGAGTGGATATTCTTATCAATAATGCTGGAATAATGTTTTATCCTCGCTTCGAGTTAACAGTTGATGGAAATGAATTAACATGGCAGACAAATTATTTAGGTTAGTGCATATAATTCTGATCAAATAAGTCATTTTATGAATATATTTTAGTTAAATTATAAAAAAATTTTCATTTTTGCTTTCATTTTGACTATAAAAGATTTTAAGGGCACTTCCTTTTAACTGAGTTATTACGACCACTTTTGGAAAAATCGAACGAAGGTCGCATCATAAATGTGTCAAGTGCCTTACATAAACGAGCAGATAGTGTTGACGAATCAGTTGTTTATAATCCAGAAAAATTCAATCGATATCAACCGTACTGTCGTTCGAAGTTGGCACTCGTACGTTCTGCGTTTTTACTTATTACAGTTTCGAAAAATGGGAATAAAAAACCTTGAGTCTTCATTATATTCAGTTTTCTATTGATGCGTATGAAATAATTCTTTTGAATTTTTTTTATAATTTCCGAAATATATTGCAATATTTTTTTGAGACTGATGACTGAATTAAAATGAACGAAGTTTGAAAGGTTTTATGACATTTTCATCACTTATCGTATAGCAGCAATGAATTGCAGATCATGCATGCTGTTGAATTAACTCGAGTGATCCGATTAGCCAATCCTTCAAGTAGAGTGACCATCAATGCACTTCATCCTGGTGTATGTTTCACAAATCTGATGCGATATAATTTTGCAAATCATTTTCCTATCCGCCAGCTTCTAACTCCGTTCTTTTGGTTCTTCATGAAAACGGACAGGGCAAGATTTCACTTATTTTACACTTTCTTTCGTCTGTTCTAGTATATTCCCTAATGGAAGGAAAATTAAAATTTATTTTAGGATGGCGCACAAACTCCTTTGTATTTGGCGCTAAGCAAAGATGTTGAAGGTGTTTCGGGAAAGTATTTCGGGTTTCTGATTAATGATTTTTTCTACTTGTCTTTTTTCATATTTACTTTTAACGTGAGGTGAGATAGTTTTTTGCACTTCTACATTTTTCAGGGAATGTAAGGAGCATAAGCCATCGCAAAAAGCGCTGAATCCAGAAACTTGCAGCCTACTTTACAACTACAGTATTGAAGCAGTTGGTCTAGGAACTCCTTCGCCTTAGTCGTGCTTTTCGTCTCGTGAACGGTAAATGCTTCCGAACGCTGGATTGCTCTTTCCAGTCTTTTATAAAAATTTAATGATTTCAAAAGCATAAAGTTTATGTTAATTTTTTTTAAAAGATTTAAGTACGGATTTTCCACGAACTATTACCAAAATGACAATCTGCGGGTTACAACTTTTTAGCACTAAATTTTTCCAGAAAAAAACAGATGGGGGTGTCGCAGTCTTTACGAAATGCTTGCAGTTACTAAACGTGAATTTTGTCTACTGCCTTATGAATTTCGAAAAGAACTGACAAAATGAAACTGATATTTTGCTATTAATATTAATATCTATTGGGTAAAATATGTTATGAATATATGAAAATATGAACATTTACTTTATTTTTATAAATTCCACCTATTTTTGCTTCGAGAAATGTAGCATTTTCTGATCAAGAAAATCGGTTCTTTTGCCACTGACTGATTTTTTGATGTATCATAAAATGAACAATTTTATTTCGTTAGACCTGAGATTATAGCAAACAAAATACCGAAGAATATAAAATTAAAAAACAAGCTTGTTTTATTTGAGGAACTTAGCGACGATAATGCAGTGCAAAATATACTTGACATGTACCACTACTGATATGGAAATGGTCAAAGTGATGCAGGGGGACCCACTTGTAATTCTATCCTCAGAGTGACTGAAAGGCTCCCATTCTAATGATGGGAGGAGACATCTGTGGAAATTACATAAACAAATAGTATCGCTAAAAGGCTTTTTAACAATGAATGAACTAGAAAAATGGATATATTGGTGATCAATATTTTGAAAAATATTTTTTTTATCTCGTTTTGACAACAGGAATAAAATGCGATACTACTTATTCGAGGTCATCATTGTCAATCAGACCTTGCATATTTGTGTTTCCTGATGTAAATATGATTTGTTGACCAGTATTCCTCATTTCATCGATATCTTCACTTGACTGGCACATCAGTCGAAGTTGTGCCATACGCTGAAATAAATGTTTCCATTTAAAAAAATCGCTTAGTAACGAATGCCTTTATTTAAATCATTTTTTTTTGAATGAATTAAAAGATATAAATAATCAAAACGCATGAAATGGGCATCATATTTTTGCTTCTTCCTTTCAAAAATCTCACTTGTTTTGCTTCAGGGAGTTTGCGGATTAGTAATGCGAAATGCTCTGGAGGCAAAGTTTGTTGAAATATTTGAAGAAGACTCTGTGGATGGCCACATATCGCTACAGCGTTACTGATGTGCTCAATACCTTCATCAATTCTACCTGGAACTTTTTAGACCTCAAAGAATGAGAAAATGACTGCCATCATTCAATTAAAATATTTAACATAGGTGTCAAAGCGAAATCTCTTCCACTGAACTTCATATTAAGTAACTAAACTATTCGCCACATAAACCGTTCTACAAAAAACAAAAATTTCTTACCTTCGCCAATTAGTTCCTCGCCTAACTGTACTTCCTGCAAGAAGAAAGCTTGCATTTCTGTTGTATTAGTAAAATCAGGTGCAGCCATATTACGAGCGACTCTTGCCGCTGCACGACGATCTAAAAAAAAGGATAAAGGTTCAGGAGGAGGATTTACCCTTATAAAAATTTAGCATAAAAAATTGTTTGCAAATAAAATTCTTTTGGAATAAAGAGGTATACAGATAAAATATAAAAAAGATTTGCTTGCCAAAAATAAAAATTTTGGAAAAGAATAAATCTATTTTAACCATGTTTTAAAATTTAAAATTCAAAAATAATGTGCGAAAATGGAAAATAGGGTTTCCATTGATTTACAAAAAATAAGCCTCACTTTCTCGTATTTTTTGCTTATAATCCGGCGCACTCCTCCTTTTTCGATCAAAATACACGCAATAACCAATAAAAGCAGCTGCTACTATACTGGCCCCCGTAACGACATGTTGTCGGTTCAACGCATTTAACAGTGATGAAACTACCATTTTTTCCAAACTGAAATTATTATATTATTTAAAACAAGAACCAAGGACAAGAAGGAGCGATAATTTAAATCAGCAGTCGTTGATGTGTGCTTCTTTTAGCCACGCAACCGAAAAAAAATTTAATGTTTTTTTCTATAAATTACCATTTTCTTTGATTCCTTCTAAATACAAACTATCGTTTTTTCTGTACTTTCATTAAAATTTATATAACAAATTCTTAAAAGGACTTAAGGTTTTCACAAATTTTACGAAGAATATATAATTTATTCAGTTTTTCTAGCCCTCATTAAACTAGTCAAATGAATGAATGCAGATTCATTTCGCTCAGAAAATCCCCTATCCTATTAATAGTAAATGGAACGAATCTGACCAGAAATGGTGAATGCTAACCAATCATTTAAGTCTAGCTTTCATAAGACTCACATACTGTATAACTCACATACTGGATGTATAACTTTTAGCGGACTCTCGTGACCAATGTCGCAAAAAATCCTTATAACCGTGATCTTTTTAATAGACAAATAAAGAGTTAAACTGTAAGATAATAAGGTGGTAAGAAAATAATTCTAACTAAGGTGATAAGAAAGAAGAATCAATTTAAGTCCAATGACTTGAAAGATTTATCCATTTATTTTTTTATGAGAAGAAAATGCCAATAAATTCTACCTTCTAGGCAAAACGACCCCTCCCCCCCTCCACCTATAATACTCCCCACCTCAAAAAGTAGCTAAAAACTATTTATGTGAAAAATTATATAATAAAAAATAAAACTCAGAGAGAAAGGCTACCGCTGTTTCACGGCCCCACGACAATGAACCATCGAAATACGGCCCACAAAATCGTGGCCTTACTGCTTTAATGTATTATGGAATAATGATGCAAAGAAATTCTTCGTCCCATTCTTCCAAAGGTGCTATCCAATGGCACCGATTCACCTTCTCAATGTTTCTTTTGTGGATGAACAACAATTTATTAGCTTCTTTAATTAATTGGTTACATCAGCTTGTTTGCGTATTTTTTCTCAACTAAACCCCACCATTTTTATTTTTTTTTCTTTTTTAGCATTTCAGCGATTATATTTACTTTTATTTAAGTGGTTTTTAAAGTATTCGATCTATTATTCATTCTTATTTTGTGTAATAATAGAAAATGGCAATGAAAGAAATGGAACGGTATACTGTAATTTGGAGAAAACTTTGTTGGATATGTCGAATTGTCCTAATTAATGGTCGATTCGCTTAAAAGATACAAAATTTTCGATTAATAATTCAAAGCGAAGACGTTAGCCATAAGCAAACTAAGTTTTTAAATCAGCATTTTGCGAAAATATGCATTTTGTTTTAAAATGTTAGCGCAGTATTTTGCGGCTTTTTTCGTAGTATTGATTCATATAAAAAAAACGCATAGAAATAGAAGCGATTTTAAGAATATTTTCAAAACTCTTTGCTTTTCTTCTTCTAATTATCGTTGATTGAATTGGCTCCAACGACTACAAGGGTAAGACATCTCTTAGCTGTTAGTTCCGACGCTATCGATGACAGTAATAGAAGCCATTCCTTTTTCCATCGTCTAAGGCCATACATTGCTAGTCCATCTTTACGTTCAACCAGGTCTTGATTGGCCCACATTGCTTTAACGCCACCCATCACACGGTTTAGCAAGTAACGAAATATGCGTCAACTCTTGTAGTAGGCAATGAATAACAAACAGCGAAAGCGATGCTATGTGATGGTACTGTTAATGCAAGTGGTTTGAACGAAGGTTGATACGATCATGTGATATTTTATCCACTCCGTAAAATGTATCTTAAGCATGACTGGTCAAAGGCACCATTCTCATCAGCTATGTCTCGCAGCCATATATCAAGATCGACCGAATCGCTGCTATATAGATGCGGGATTTTCATTTTTATGGTGATTTCGTGACGGCTCCATAAAGGTTTCGTCAACCGGAAGGAAAGGAGTTTCTAGTTAACCCTCGTACGGGTTATAATTTGTTCGGCATTAGAATGGATGCAAGGTATTTAAAATCGTGCACTTCCTCAATAAGCAATGAATTTATAAAAAGAGCCATTTTATCAGCTTCTTGTATATAATAAAACAAAAAGACTTTCGTTTTATTTACATTGATTTTGAGTCCGATTTCCGCTGCAACTGCTGTTGTTTAGTATTACTTGCATTTGGTCACAACTATCAGAAAGGGCTACATCATCAGCGTATTCAAGATCTATAATACGATGCTCCAGACTGATTTGTACACCTCTTGAGTGCCGACAAGTGGTGTCCATTATCCAGTCTATATATAGTTGAATATTGTAGGAGAAAGGACAAAGGACCTTGACGGACACCAGTTCTTATTTCGAAGGACAAGGAGGAGTTCCCCTATATACCTGTGCCAATTTACACTGATAAGATTCTTTTATGAGTCGAATGATTTTCTCTAGAACACCATCGCATTCCATCACTCTCCAAAACGCCGTACTATCAATTCATTCGAAGGCAACTGAAACTCAGTCATTTAACGGTGGGTTGCAGATATTTGAATCGATGTTCCAACATTCTTCTTAACGTAAATATCTAGCCAGCAAAAACGTGCCTTAATCCAAATCCAGCTTTGTTAGGGTGACATAAGCCTACTGAATCTACTTTTTGCTGTTACTTTATTCATAAAGAGTGAATCAAAGTGATTAACTTTAGTATGATGTTGACTTAACCTTTTATTATTGTATGCCACGCACTTAGAGATATCAGAATTTCAATTTAACGGTGAAATGATGGTAATGGAACTTTGCAACTATAATTAAAATTTTTTGTTCTTATTAAATGTTAAGATATGGTGCTCAACAATGAAAGAATAATTTTATTGGAATTTTCCAGTAAAAAATTGCCATAAAATTCGCAAAAAATAAGCAAAATGAATTTTTAAAATTTATTACATAAAAAGGCACAGCCGGTGAGCCATATACAAATGAACAAATAAAAACCATAAGAGCCATATTTGCCACAAGAAAATACCAAAAGAAAAATAAAATAAAAAAAGACTTGATAAAAGAATAGTTTATTAGCTCGTATATAATAGGTGAACTGATTAAATGAAGAGAGGAAGGAGTCATAATTCGTTCGTTCAACTATAATTTGAAGAAGTGATGGATAACCTGCTTAGAAAAATGATTAGTGTTCCAATTAGATTTCAAAACTTAAAAAAAAATCATACAATGAAATTCCAACGAAACAAAAGCCTTAATCCCAGTAATAATATAGACATCTTTTAACTAAGAAAGAAAAACCAAGAAAAAAAAATAATTTAAATTATCAGCTATATCGTTGATTTTATTCACAAATTTTTTAAAAATTTTTTAGCTAAATTAAAAAGGAAATTTTTCAGGATATGTTTTATAAAATAAAATCCTATTTTTTCAAATATTTACGACGATGACAGTTTAAAAAATATAATATATATATTAGAATAAATAGAAATATAATTCTATTAACTAAAATAAATGTATATAAATAATGAATAAATAGAAAAAATGAAGAAAACATGCTGTACATCATGATCACAGATATGCTGAATCGGTCGCACTTGAGCGCGAAATTTTTTTTTCCAGAAAATGGCAGAAAAAATATTAATTAATTCAAAATTAAAATGAAAAAAATATATTTTTTTAAAATTAAAAAAGAGATGCAGAAAATATTACAACCAGAAAACATGGATTTTTCATTTCTTATTGTAAAGCTAAGAAAGCAATTCCAACGACGTCATACATTTCATAGCGCAAAAGAAATGGTACTTATGGAAAAACAACAGTGAAACTGAACGAAAGAGGAATCGGAAAATAATGCTCTCCAGTATTCGTTTAGACAAGAGATCATGAGCTTTATTATTATTAAACTCCCTTAAATTAATGAAGTGTTCGAAAAGTAAACGCGTTCCTTCGAAAAGTAAACGCGTTCCTATTTTAAGAAGAAGGTTTGGAGGAGAAATTAGATAAGAAGGAAATAAATTATTGGTCATTCATAATAAAATTATTTTTGGTTTTATATTTTTCATCAATTCTCCAAACACTTCATTAATAATATTTCAAAAAAAAGGAATGATTTAAGCTAGAAGTATCAAAAATGAGATGACAAGTCAGATTGACAAATAGCATAACATCTTCAAAGAGATGTATCTAATAAAGAATACCAGTTTAGTTTAAAAAGGGGAATGAAAATGTCTTTCGTACAGTGTAAAATACAGTAATTAAACAAATTAAGAAAAGAAAAAATCGCGAGTGGACTCCATAATAGAAAACTCAGAAATCTGTTCTGCTCTAAATAGATTTATTTCTCGTAGATTCTAAAAGATGATTATTCAAAAATTCGCGGAAATTTCATTATTTTATTAATTATGGCCTAGAAATGAAATTGCTCTCGGAATTTGCAACTGGAATTCCACAAAGTACAAGATTATTATCGATGAATATAATTAATGTGATTATAAATAAGCCAAAAACAAGCGAAAAAAAAATCCGTTGTCAGAGTATCATATATTTATCTGAGCTTCCTTCCTGTTTACAAATTTCATATCATGAAGCAGGTTTAACAACTCAAGCTAAAATAAAATAAAGTATGGGTGGCCAGAAGTTATGCTGTAGACACGGTCTTCACAATTTTTGGCAACAAAATACTTGGCTAATCATTAATTATTAATCTTTCTCGAAAATGAAAGTTATTAAACCATCTTGTTTCAATATGTTCAAAATAGGGGTAAATTAAGCAATACAACTGCGAATCATATCTGTTTAAACTTTGCTGTAACACACTTCCAATAAATAAAGAATGAAATTTTCATCTTATTTTCCACAAAAGTTTTACCGAAAATTTATTTGGCATTCTTTCTTAAAAATTCTGCCCAAAGTCCAACTGTACTCAGATATTAAAGCTGATCATAAATTGTCCTCGTTTCTAATGAAGTCGCCAGCAGATCGCTTTTTTTCGCATTTATTTGCTCAAATTTTC